TTAAGTGGATCTGAATTTGACAATGTCACTGTTAGGGGAATGAATATGAACAAAACCATATTATTTAATTGCAACTGGAGAAATTTAGGTATAAAAGAGGGAATAAATTTAAATGGTCATAGTAAATAGGTCATTTCACTTTGCTTTCCTGCAGATTGTAAGTTATTAGCTTCTAGCAGTGGTGATAATTGGATTCGTTTGTGGGATATTAGAAATAGGAAAAATAAATTATGTTTTCATAGGCACGGAGTAGTAAAATCAGTATTTTAACCTCTTGTAGTAGCTAATATGGTTATATATGGAATCTTAAAATAGGGAAACAAATTTCAAAATTAATTAGTCATAATGATAATGTTGATGTTAATACAGTTTGTTTTTCTCCTCATGGTACTACCTTTGCAACTGGTAGTAAAGATAAGACTAGCCGTTTATGGGATGCTATGACAGGATAGTAAGTAACCATATTAGATGATCATTCTCATTCTGTCATGTTCGCTTGTTTCTCTCCTGATGGTACCTCATTAGCATCTGGTAGTGGAGATAAGACTATCAGATTATGGTATGTTAAAACAGGATAAGAAAAATCCAAAATTAGAAAGCCATTAAAATTTTGTTCATTCAGTCTGTTTTTCTCCTGATGGTACTACATTAGCATCTGATAGTTAAAACTATTCTATTCTTTATGGAATGTTAAGACAGGATAATAAAAAGCCAAATTAGATGGTCATTCAAGTTGTGTATAAACAGTAAGTATTTCTCCTCATGGTACTAAACTAGCATCTCATCTGGTAGTGATGATAGCTCTATCTGCTTATGGGTGTTAAGACATGATAATAAAAGCTGGACAAGACGGTCAGTCACTTCTGTCATATTCGTTTGTTTTACTTCTGATAGTGCTAAATTAGCATATGATAGTTATGATAACTCTATCTGTTTATGGGATGTTAAAACAACAGCAAAGGAGCTTCTCCCTCAAGATAATTTTTATAGCGAATTTATATCTTAGTGAAAAATGCCATCTAATTCGTAAAATAGTATTAATTATATTATTCTTTAGCTAATCTTGACTGCACTATACTAAGAATATGTCAAAATCCGACTTTGAAGCTTAAGGAGCTTTAATTTTGGAAGGACGATTTTTAATTCCTAAGTCCAAGAACTAAAAATCATTGTCTAAATCTAAAGGATGGTGCATAATATCAAGCTAAATTGTTTTACAACAACAATAAATTGATTATTATTACCAAATACACATTAGAAATATCAAATTTTGCATCAATTCTACAATTCTTACTTTTTTTTCATTAACCACTATTTCTTTTTTTTTTGATATTCTTTCTGAAATCTCACTGTCAAGGAGTTCAAACATAAATTTATGTCATTTTTTGTTCAGAACAATTTTATTTGAAACTTTTTGCCATGATTATTTATATGTTATTTATTGGTATTAGTCACAAATTTGTCTAATAAATGAGATTGACTAGTTCCGCATACCTCTAAAGGAATATAAGATTAATTGTACTTTTTTCCAATAAAATTTCTTTTTATTTTCAAAATTCCTATGATATTTTCCATTTACTATTTATGATATTTTGCGCTGAAATTGTTAATCAAAGTAATAAAATATGCAACCCCCTACTCAAAATTCCGTTCTTTGTATCAGCCGTGACCATATTACGATCACTAAATAGAGGGGTAAGATTAGGATAGCAAAAACCAGCCCCATTCTTGGAGCTTTTATGTAAATTGATTAACAATTAGGTAGTAAGGTGATTTTGCAAGACTGCTCTCAATTTATATATTTTCTTCTTTATTATATGCCCTAGTGTTAAAGATTAAAGTTGGGATCAGATGATCGGCCAAGATATTTTATATTAGAATCTCTTTTTATAATTTTCGCATGCTCTCCGTGCAAATTTGAAAAATAGGTAAAAGTTGTCAGGTGTCTTCAATAGTTAAAGGAATTCTACTAATACATTGTTGTTGGCAGATCAATTTAAGGATTATCCTATATTTAGAGTCTACTCTTAGCTTTTTGGATGTTTCAGCTCTGTTTTTCTTATCTATCTAAGTGTTATCTATCAGCAATTAATTTATCACTTTGGCAGGAGTATTTTTAGGTAATCCAGTAAGATGTTTGAATATCTATTTTTTGCGAAGGATAAACTAACTGAAAAGTAAAAAAAATGTGGTTCTATTTAGATGTAATAAATTGCCATTCTTTTTATTTAAAATTCATTCTTAATGTTAGATGCATTAGTTTTGTACCTAATAAAATTTATCTTTGTTTTAAACTGTTTAAAGTGAGTTTTATAAGACCATATTAAATAAAACCTCTATTCCAAGGTATCTATAACTATTTTTAGGATGTAATCCTTATAGATATTACGTTTTATTGGTAAGATGCCGCATTACCTTTTATTTGATTTCAAGTTCCATTAAACTTAATGTTCTTCTTTTTTTTGTAATAGGGTGGCGATTTTCCTTTACCTAATTAAAAAACGATGTCATCTATATATCCCAAAAAGTTGACTTTAAAATAAAACTTATGAAATAGCCCCTTTAGAAATTCATCCATGTATATGTTAAATAGGTAAACGTCTTTTTATTCCCTAAGTTTTTATTAGACATATCTATTTAATAATGTATAAAAATCAAAGAAAGTTGTAACATGCATTTTAATTGTGGATGAAACATAAGGATCATTATTCGGTAACCATAAAGATACAGTTAAATATATATCACTTTTGGCAATTAAGTAATGCCACTTCATTTTATCTACTGATATTTGAAAGAAGAAATAAAATAAAGTAATCAAATAATTCAAATTTAATAAAACTTCTGTTATTAATCAATCAATATATTTATAACTCCTCATTTAAATTAATTTCTTTTTTTTTTTTAACCATCCATAATATTTATTGATGTATTGAGTATAAGTCATATTACTGATTTAAATATTTAGCAATAAAAATTTTCAGCATTATTCTGTCTTTTAAAATAAATGGTTTTATTTATTTTTTATTAGAATATATATATAATGGAGAGATTTAATATTTATATGGATCGTTTAATGATGGTTATAGGATTTTGCTGTTTTTGCATATGCAGATGAAAAATTTATCAGAATAGCAGCATGTAAGACAATTACTCTGAAAGAAATAGGTGACAATAATATTCTATAAAATGAATAGTGATTTTTTCATTATTCTAAAAATATATTCTTTCTAAGATTTTCATGTAGGAGAGTAAAATTACAAAAATAAATTTTTTAGTCATATAGAATTTCTGCTAAAATAAGGTAAGTTCAAATATAGAAATAAAAATTTGAGAATCATACCCAAAAAAATTAAATATATATTTCCCTATCCTACATATTTGCCATTTAAGATGAATTATTGACAACATAATTCTATTTAAACCTAATTAAATTTTGAATATAAACATAGAAATTTCGTATTTTTATTGACGAAAGTGGGACAAAAATATTGATATTTATAATTAATTTTGCTCAAATAAACTATAATTTATTTATTATAAAAATTTGTATAAAATTCAGTATATAAATTATATTGAAAACATTAATATAAAATATATGGAATAATTATGTCTAATTAATTAATTTCATTCATTTCATTCTATCTATGATGTTAAATATAGGAAAATAGTTATTATTAATGTTATTACTGCTTACTTTGTGTATTCAATAATTGGGATTGCTATAATTTGATTTACTTTGAGTTGTCAATTAAAAATTGACTTTTTCTAATTTATTTAGGAACTCTGCCTTATGTATTATAAAATTAATATTTTATTTTGCAGTCTAATGTTGTGCTACTTCAGTTGAGTTCTACATCTTTGTTATTACTTTTTCAAAACAACATTAGAGTTATTCTTAGTAAGGGTTTAATAATAATCTATCAGGTTAAAAAATATTAATGGATGATTTAGTGATTCTAGTTTCAAATATAAGCTCCCTAAATTAGATATTCAATTTTACTTCTGTTATTATAGGCTTAAGCTAATTTAGGATTCTTTTAAAGGTATTTCAGGGTAACATTTGTTGAGTAGTTATAATCTTCCCATCAAGTGATTGTTTTAAAGTTGAGGACTTTAATTCTGGTTTGAATGGAGCCTTAATTTAAAAAGTCCCTATTAGCTTATTAATAAAGTTCAAGCAAGATTTAATACTTTTTTATAGTTATAACTTACAATATTATATTAACTCCTATTTTTTTTATTTATTAGCTAGCAGAGTTTAAGAAATTATTTGATCGATCCAACGTTTTGGCAATTCATTTAGGAAAAAAAAATATTGTTAATATAAAATATTATTTGATACTCAAAAATTAACTTTTCAATATTCTTAAATGAATTTAATCCAAAGATTATTTAAAAATTATAGGATTGATCATGAATAATTATGTAATAAGTTCTAGGATATTGATAAGTTTAGACACCATATACAAAATTAGATTTCCTGTTTTTGCTAATTTTTCTAATAATTTATTTGGAAGTGTTCCATTATTTCAAATTAATTCAACTAAGGCTAGCATGGTATGAGCCATATGATTTAACTGCACTCAATATTTTTTTCACATTAATTTAGAATAGATTTTTTTTAATAACACATCTAAAAGCTTAAAATAAAAATAATAGGAACATAAGGTAGGCAGGTATTTTTCATTAAAACTAACAGTAGGTAAAATAGCCTTCTAAAATATAGTTATACGCTATTGGGTAGTTAAGATGAAGAATCGGAAAACCCAAAATTTAAAATTATTACATATATGTTTTATAAAACTGTTTAATTAACGAACAAACTATTATGAAGGATAATTTCTAATATTAATTTATGTTAATATTTTTTCATTTTTTTTTCAAAATTCCTTTTATTTTTCTACTGCTAGTTTCATCCATGATTCTTTTAATAATCATATTTATATATACAATTATAAGAGATTACATTTCTTGTTCTGATTTCATTCTCCAAAAAATACCACTTCACAATTTTGATGCCGTTTCCTCCTTTATCAAAGGACCCATACCCACTAATAATATTATGTATTTTATTATGAGATTATTACATATTTTTTAATGATTTTTCATTTTATTCTCTAAAAAATACATCCCATCTGCCAACCTTTTAACCGTTCTTATATTCACCTTTATACAATAGTAGTTAGTGATTATTAAATGCAAAATCCTATTCAATCCACTACCCAATTTTATTGTTATTGCCATCCTCATCATATGCTCCACCACCACTAAGAAATTTTACACTGATATATTTTACATCACTTCATCGAGGAGGGTGATTTCCCATCCACCCACTTTTTTCCCATTTTTATATTCACCAATATAGGATATCTCTTTTTAAAAGCCAAATTTATCATCCAATTCTTTCCACATACCAATTTTAACTTCATTACCTGCGTTATCATATGACCCACCACCACTATTATAATTTGCTCACTTTTAATATACATTTTATTATTTTTTCCATCACTTCCATATCTATATTATTTAAACCAAATATCCCATCTTCCAACTTTTTTGCCATAATTATATTCACCAACAAAAGTTACTTATTTCTCTATTTCATACCGATCTCCCAATACAATCCATTCACCAATCTTTAATTCTTGCCCTTCTTAATCATATGATCCTCCACCTCTAATTAAATTTAATATTGAAATCATTACATCTAATTGTATGTGCCATACTCTTTAAACAAAATCTTCCATGTTCCAACCTTTTTACCGTTATTAAACTCACCCATATCAATAAAATTTGAATCTCTAAGATAAGAAAAGAACAAGATATACCCTTCGCTTCTAAAAATTTCTTGGCCATTCAAATCATAATTAACACAACCCCTATTTAAAAATGAAATATTAAATACTGTAATATCATTTTTTTATATTATTTTTTAAATGTTTTCCATAAGCCTACCTTTTTCCCATTTTTGTATTCGCCTTTATAAGTTTTTGGCCGCCAATTAAGATAGTAATCTACATCAATCCATTCGCCAATCTTTAATTCCTGCCCTTCTTAATCATATGATCCTCCACCTCTAATTAAATTAATATTGAAATCATTACATCTAATTGTATGTATCATTCTCTTTAAACAAAATCTTCCATGTTCCAACCTTTTTACCGTTATTAAACTCACCCATATGAATAAAATTTGAATCTCTAAAATATAAAACTGCAAGAAATACTCTCTGCTTCTAAAAATCTCTTTACCATTCTGATTATAATTAACACAACATCTAATTAACATGAATAATTAAATACTATAATTTCAATATGTTATTTTCTCTTCTACATGTCTTCCATAAGCCTATCTTTTGCCCATTTAAGTATTAGCCCTTATAAGTAATTTAATGGCTTTAATCAAAGTGGAAAGCTATATCAATCCATTCCCCACCCTTTATGCCATTACCTTCATCATCATAAGATCCTCCACCACTACAAAATTAATTGATATATTTACATTTTATTATTTTATTTATCATTCCCATATTCTTTAAAATACATATCCCAAAAACCAACTTTTTTCCCATTTTAATATTCACCAATGTATGTGAGTTAACGTTACAGGCTAAATTTATCATCTATTTCTATCCACAAACCAATTTTTATTCCATTACCTCCGTTATCATATGAACCACCACCACTAAAATTATTTGCTCATTATTAATATACATTTTATTATTTTATTTATCCTTCTCATTCTCTTTAAACATAATATTCCATCTACCAATTTTTTTACAATTGTCATATTCTCCATTATATGTAACTTAACAGTGAAATTAAAAATAATCACAAATTTCAATCCACTATCCAATTTTATTGTTATTGCCATCCTCATCATATTCTCCACCACCACTAAGAAATTTTACACTGATATATTTTACATCACTTCATCGAGGAGGGTGATTTCCCATCCACCCACTTTTTTCCCATTTTTATATTCACCAATATAGGATATCTCTTTTTAAAAGCCAAATTTATCATCCAATTCTTTCCACATACCAATTTTAACTTCATTACCTGCGTTATCATATGACCCACCACCACTATTATAATTTGCTCACTTTTAATATACATTTTATTATTTTTTCCATCACTTCCATATCTATATTATTTAAACCAAATATCCCATCTTCCAACTTTTTTGCCATAATTATATTCACCAACAAAAGTTACTTATTTCTCTTTTTCAAACCGATCTCCCAATACAATCCATTCACCAATCTTTAATTCTTGCCCTTCTTAATCATATGATCCTCCACCTCTAATTAAATTTAATATTGAAATCATTACATCTAATTGTATGTGCCATACTCTTTAAACAAAATCTTCCATGTTCCAACCTTTTTACCGTTATTAAACTCACCCATATCAATAAAATTTGAATCTCTAAGATAAGAAAAGAACAAGATATACCCTTCGCTTCTAAAAATTTCTTGGCCATTCAAATCATAATTAACACAACCCCTATTTAAAAATGAAATATTAAATACTGTAATATCATTTTTTTATATTATTTTTTAAATGTTTTCCATAAGCCTACCTTTTTCCCATTTTTGTATTCGCCTTTATAAGTTTTTGGCCGCCAATTAAGATAGTAATCTACATCAATCCATTCGCCAATCTTTAATTCCTGCCCTTCTTAATCATATGATCCTCCACCTCTAATTAAATTAATATTGAAATCATTACATCTAATTGTATGTATCATTCTCTTTAAACAAAATCTTCCATGTTCCAACCTTTTTACCGTTATTAAACTCACCCATATGAATAAAATTTGAATCTCTAAAATATAAAACTGCAAGAAATACTCTCTGCTTCTAAAAATCTCTTTACCATTCTGATTATAATTAACACAACATCTAATTAACATGAATAATTAAATACTATAATTTCAATATGTTATTTTCTCTTCTACATGTCTTCCATAAGCCTATCTTTTGCCCATTTAAGTATTAGCCCTTATAAGTAATTTAATGNATATTGAAATCATTACATCTAATTGTATGTATCATTCTCTTTAAACAAAATCTTCCATGTTCCAACCTTTTTACCGTTATTAAACTCACCCATATCAATAAAATTTGAATCTCTAAGATAAGAAAAGAACAAGATATACCCTTCGCTTCTAAAAATTTCTTGGCCATTCAAATCATAATTAACACAACCCCTATTTAAAAATGAAATATTAAATACTGTAATATCATTTTTTTATATTATTTTTTAAATGTTTTCCATAAGCCTACCTTTTTCCCATTTTTGTATTCGCCTTTATAAGTTTTTGGCCGCCAATTAAGATAGTAATCTACATCAATCCATTCGCCAATCTTTAATTCCTGCCCTTCTTAATCATATGATCCTCCACCTCTAATTAAATTAATATTGAAATCATTACATCTAATTGTATGTATCATTCTCTTTAAACAAAATCTTCCATGTTCCAACCTTTTTACCGTTATTAAACTCACCCATATCAATAAAATTTGAATCTCTAAGATAAGAAAAGAACAAGATATACCCTTCGCTTCTAAAAATTTCTTGGCCATTCAAATCATAATTAACACAACCCCTATTTAAAAATGAAATATTAAATACTGTAATATCATTTTTTTATATTATTTTTTAAATGTTTTCCATAAGCCTACCTTTTTCCCATTTTTGTATTCGCCTTTATAAGTTTTTGGCCGCCAATTAAGATAGTAATCTACATCAATCCATTCGCCAATCTTTAATTCCTGCCCTTCTTAATCATATGATCCTCCACCTCTAATTAAATTAATATTGAAATCATTACATCTAATTGTATGTATCATTCTCTTTAAACAAAATCTTCCATGTTCCAACCTTTTTACCGTTATTAAACTCACCCATATCAATAAAATTTGAATCTCTAAGATAAGAAAAGAACAAGATATACCCTTCGCTTCTAAAAATTTCTTGGCCATTCAAATCATAATTAACACAACCCCTATTTAAAAATGAAATATTAAATACTGTAATATCATTTTTTTATATTATTTTTTAAATGTTTTCCATAAGCCTACCTTTTTCCCATTTTTGTATTCGCCTTTATAAGTTTTTGGCCGCCAATTAAGATAGTAATCTACATCAATCCATTCGCCAATCTTTAATTCCTGCCCTTCTTAATCATATGATCCTCCACCTCTAATTAAATTAATATTGAAATCATTACATCTAATTGTATGTATCATTCTCTTTAAACAAAATCTTCCATGTTCCAACCTTTTTACCGTTATTAAACTCACCCATATCAATAAAATTTGAATCTCTAAGATAAGAAAAGAACAAGATATACCCTTCGCTTCTAAAAATTTCTTGGCCATTCAAATCATAATTAACACAACCCCTATTTAAAAATGAAATATTAAATACTGTAATATCATTTTTTTATATTATTTTTTAAATGTTTTCCATAAGCCTACCTTTTTCCCATTTTTGTATTCGCCTTTATAAGTTTTTGGCCGCCAATTAAGATAGTAATCTACATCAATCCATTCGCCAATCTTTAATTCCTGCCCTTCTTAATCATATGATCCTCCACCTCTAATTAAATTAATATTGAAATCATTACATCTAATTGTATGTATCATTCTCTTTAAACAAAATCTTCCATGTTCCAACCTTTTTACCGTTATTAAACTCACCCATATCAATAAAATTTGAATCTCTAAGATAAGAAAAGAACAAGATATACCCTTCGCTTCTAAAAATTTCTTGGCCATTCAAATCATAATTAACACAACCCCTATTTAAAAATGAAATATTAAATACTGTAATATCATTTTTTTATATTATTTTTTAAATGTTTTCCATAAGCCTACCTTTTTCCCATTTTTGTATTCGCCTTTATAAGTTTTTGGCCGCCAATTAAGATAGTAATCTACATCAATCCATTCGCCAATCTTTAATTCCTGCCCTTCTTAATCATATGATCCTCCACCTCTAATTAAATTAATATTGAAATCATTACATCTAATTGTATGTATCATTCTCTTTAAACAAAATCTTCCATGTTCCAACCTTTTTACCGTTATTAAACTCACCCATATCAATAAAATTTGAATCTCTAAGATAAGAAAAGAACAAGATATACCCTTCGCTTCTAAAAATTTCTTGGCCATTCAAATCATAATTAACACAACCCCTATTTAAAAATGAAATATTAAATACTGTAATATCATTTTTTTATATTATTTTTTAAATGTTTTCCATAAGCCTACCTTTTTCCCATTTTTGTATTCGCCTTTATAAGTTTTTGGCCGCCAATTAAGATAGTAATCTACATCAATCCATTCGCCAATCTTTAATTCCTGCCCTTCTTAATCATATGATCCTCCACCTCTAATTAAATTAATATTGAAATCATTACATCTAATTGTATGTATCATTCTCTTTAAACAAAATCTTCCATGTTCCAACCTTTTTACCGTTATTAAACTCACCCATATGAATAAAATTTGAATCTCTAAAATATAAAACTGCAAGAAATACTCTCTGCTTCTAAAAATCTCTTTACCATTCTGATTATAATTAACACAACATCTAATTAACATGAATAATTAAATACTATAATTTCAATATGTTATTTTCTCTTCTACATGTCTTCCATAAGCCTATCTTTTGCCCATTTAAGTATTAGCCCTTATAAGTAATTTAATGCCACTAATCAAATTTTAAATTTAAATCAATCCATTTCCCAACTTTTATGCCATTACCTTCATCATCAAAAGATCCTCCACCACTACAAGATTAATTGATATATTTACATTTTATTATTTTATTTATCATTCCCATATTCTTTAAAATAAATATCCCAAAAACCAACTTTTTTCCCATTTTTATATTCACCAATGTATGTGAGTTACTGTTACAGGCTAAATTTATCATCTATTTCTATCCACAAACCAATTTTTATTTCATCACCTCCTTCATCATAAACTCCACCACCACTAAATATGTTAGACTTTATATAATCTTTATTACATTTATTATCCTTTACTCCAATTTATATTCCACCTACCAATTTTTTTACCATTTTGATATTCACCATTGTATGTAACCTATTTTGATTAGTCGAAACCATCATCTAAATCAATCCATGATCCAACCTTTATACCTAAACCTTTTTCATCATATGATCCGCCCCCACTATAAAAAGTTTGCAATATTTATAAAACTTAATACATCTATTACCCACCACACCAAAAAATTTTCCAGCTTCCAACTCTTTAACCATTCTCATATGTTCCAATATACAGTATTTATTTTTTATTCTCAAATTTATCATCGAAGTCTATCCATTTCCCAACCTTTGTGCCTTTACCTTCTTCATCATATGATCCCCCTCCGCTAAAAAAAATAGTACATTATATAATAATCATTACATCTAAAATTTCTCATACCATACAATATTCCAGCTTCCAACTTTTTAACCATTCTCATATGTTCCAATATACTGGATTAATATTTTATTCTCAAATTTATCATCGAAGTCTATCCATTTCCCAACCTTTGTGCCTTTACCTTCTTCATCATATGATCCCCCGCCACTAAAAGATAAAAGATGAAATGATATATTTACACTTTATTATTTTGTTTAGCATTCCCAAAATCTTTAAACCAAATATCCCATCTACCAATCTTTTTCCCATTTTTATATTCACCATTATAAGTCACTTATTTAATCACTAAAAACAGGTCACTAATATCAATCCACTTTTCATTCTTATCACCTGCTTCATCATAGGATCCACCGCCACTAAAAAAATTTTCTATTAATAATATTGATTACATCTATTTAAATTATTGAAACGCATTCATTCTATATAAAATATCCCATCTACCAATCTTTTTCCCATTTTTATATTCACCATCATAAATCACTTATGAATTAACTGAAAACAAATCACTAATATCAATCCACTTTCCATTCTTATCTCCTTCTTCATCATAGGATCCACCACCGCTAAAAAACGCTCAAGCTATCTTTTCTTACATCTGTTTCTCTTCATAAAAAATATCCCATCTATTTTCTCTTTTACCATTTTTCATTTCACCCCTATAGATGATCTTTGAATCAACACCTGAATTCATATTTTATAAATAATACAATGCAATTAATGTAATAGAAATTTAATTTATATACCTAATTTAGAATTCTATTACTTTCTAAAATTAAATAATAATTAAGGGGGTCGATTTATTTTATTAATAAGTAGATGCTACCTCTCTTTAAACTTTAGAACCCTGTAGTATGGAGATAATGATAATTCCCAAAATTTTAATCATTATTTGGATCTCTAAAATTTACAAATTTTAATGTTCAGAATAATGTGGTTATTGTATTAAAGAGATTTTGTTATAGTTGTATTTATGTAGGTTCGAAAATAAATTAAAATAATGTTTGTATCACTTAATGTGAAGATGGCATTGTTATTGATTAATGTGAAGATTCTTATAATGGGAATGATATCCCTTATTATAGTTGTTATTAATGTTAATTTAAATTTTCAGAAGGTTGTATTCAATGCCAATCAAACTAATGCAAATAATTTGATCATATATATTTACTGGATTACTAGACAGGTGCATGTTTCAAATAGGATAATGATGACTAAAACATTGATTTTTTAATTCTCTTGCTAGAGTAAATTACAAAATTAAGATATGGGTAAACTATATTATTATTGATAATTTATGTGTTTATAAATGTGGGAATGGATTTAGAGATAATCAATATTAAGAATGAGATAATGGGGACATTTATGGAGGAGATGGATGTTCTTCTTTTTGTCACAGTTTAATGTTTAGATTATGAGAACTACTTAAGCATATGTACTTATATTAAAGCTCCTAAAATTAACTTGAATATTCTTACTAATACTGGCAATTCTCTTCAGGTTGTGGAATCAACTTTTTTAGAAAAGTACTATTTACAATTCATTTTCATTCGTCTTATTAGAAAATGAAAAGATCATTAATCTTGGAGCTCCTTTTTGCTTCCAGAAGTCACTAAACAGTAGTTAATTAAAGCATTATAACTAAATGATGCTATGATGTATTCAATGGCTGGTGTTTCAAGTTTAGCTTAGTGACAGGAATTGCAATTGTATTTTTTAACTTATTACAATTAAATAATCATTATAATCATTGTCAAATGTAAGGTTTATGTAATCAGAATTTCCACCACATATAATAGATTTTTTGAATACTTGTACTCAGGTATCCCAACAACTGATATATATCAAAATGAATTTCAAATTGATGCATTATCATAAAAATATATTTTTTTAAATTCGAATATATGATCAGGATAAAACTAATTTGAATAACCTGTTTATGTAAGGATGGATGATACTATTATCTTTGTTTGGAGTTGCTATATATATGATATTCTAATGATTAATTTTGGAAGACTAAATCAGATAGTAGTCCTAATATATCAATTGATATTGAAATCTGCTATTTTATTCATACTTCTTTATTTGCTCACGCTCATGTACTACAAGTGTCAAAGTTCCTTTGATTATACTTTTTGCATTTGACAGCAATAACAACTTTCAATTTTTCATATATTTGCTTTGAAGGATCAATAAAGGAAACATCACTTCATTTATATAAAAGTTAGAATAAATGTGAGTGTTTTCATATTCTGTTGATAATAATTAAAGATCAATGTGCTAACAAAACAAATTTAAATAATGAAGATTTCATATGCAAAAACTTTTTGATTCCCATGTGAACATTGTGTTTACACCAATAAAAAATTTATAAAAATCTAAGTTTAATTAAGCTAATCACCTGATATCTGTACATGCTAGCCAGAAATTGTGGATAATAATTTAATTTTGAGTTCCTTGACAGACTTAAGTTTAATTCATAATGCAGGAGAATTCTATTTTGGAATCCTTGTTAATTTGCTATATATAAACTAATTTTATTCTAAAAACTTCTCTTCAATAATTATCAATCTTTCCTACTATAATAAATACTATGATGAAGTATTTATAATATTTTCCTTTGGGCTTGACTCTATATAATAGAGTATTGTTAATCCTAACTTTTTAAATAACCTTACTTGAGTTCTGTTGAAATTTATTGCTCTGTGGCCATTGGGTTATTAATCATCTAAATTATATAAAATTAAACCTTCAAGAAATATATTTCTGCTAGTGCGCTAATGTAAGGAATTCTTTCAAAAATAATCCAAATTTATTGAATAGCATCTATTCACATAACTCCTTGCCTACATAGGTTTGTTTAATCAAAAATTAGCAAAACCCAGATGAAAAAGTTCTATCATTGTTATTATATAATATAATTGCTGTTGAATATCTGGATCATCTAAAAGTGCACTAAGCCTAATAGCTGCATAGGATATCATAATTATTATGGAGTGCTGCAGTACANTTAAAGCTCCTAAAATTAACTTGAATATTCTTACTAATACTGGCAATTCTCTTCAGGTTGTGGAATCAACTTTTTTAGAAAAGTACTATTTACAATTCATTTTCATTCGTCTTATTAGAAAATGAAAAGATCATTAATCTTGGAGCTCCTTTTTGCTTCCAGAAGTCACTAAACAGTAGTTAATTAAAGCATTATAACTAAATGATGCTATGATGTATTCAATGGCTGGTGTTTAAAGTTTAGCTTTAGTGACAGCAAATGCAATTGCATTTTTTAATTTATTACATCTACATAATCATTATAATCATTGTCATATGTAAGGTTTATGTAATCATAATTTCCACCACATTTAATAGATTTTTTGAATACTTGTAGTCAGGTATCCTAGCAATTGATATATATAAAAATGAATTTCCAATTGATGATTATCATAAAAATATATGATTAGGATAAACCTAATTTGAATAACTTGTTTATGTAAGAATGGATGATTCTATTATCTTTGTTTGGAGTTGCAATTTACAGGATATTCTAATGATTAATTTTGAAAGACTAAATCAGATAATAGTAGTCCTAACGTATCCAGTGATATTGAAATCTGCTTTTTTTATTCATACTTCTCCACTTGCTCACGCTAATCTACTGCAAGTGTCAAAGTTCCTTTCCTTATACTTTTTGCATTTGACAGCAATAACAACTTTCAAATTTTCATGTATTTGCTTTGAAGGATCAATAAAGGAAACATCACTTCATTTATATAAAAGTTAGAATAAATGTGAGTTTTTTCATATTCTGTTGATAATAATTAGAGATCAATGTACTAACAAAACAAATTTAAATAATGAAGATTTCATATGCAAAGACTTTTAATTCCCATGTGAACATTGTGTATACAACAATGAAAAAATTTATAAAAAGTCTAATTTAATTAAGCTAATAACCTGATATCTGTACATGCTAGCCAGAATTTGTGGATGATAATTTTAATTTTGAATTCCTTGACAGACTTAAGGCTAATCCATGATGCAGGAGAATTCTATTTTGGAATTCTTATTAATTTGCTAAATATAAACTAATTTTTTTCTAAAAACTTCTTTCAATAATTATCAATCTTTATTACTATAATAAATACTATGATGAAATATTTATAATATTTTCCTTTTAACTTAACTCTATATAATAGAGTATTGTTAATCCTAACTTTTCTAATAACCTTACTTGAGTTCTGTTGAAATTTATTGCTCTGCGGCCATAGGGTTATTAATCACCTAAATTATTTAAAATTTAACCTCCAAGATACATATTTCTGCTTTTGCGCTAATGTGAGGAATTCTTTCAAAAACAATCCAAATTTATTGAATAGCATCTATTCACATAACTCCTTGCCTACATAAGTTTGTTTAATCCAAAATTAGCAAAAAATCCAGATGAAAGTTTCATCATTAATATTATATAATATAATTGCTGTTGAATGTCTGGATCATCTAAAAGTGCACTAAGCCCAATTGCTGCATAGGATATCATAATTATTATAGAGTGCTGCAGTACAATTAAAAACACTGACAAAATTTGGAGTAAACTAGAGATTTTATTAGACATAGAGACTGATCTTCTTTAAGGAACATAATGTTCCCAATATTGTCTTACTTAGAGGAAATTAGGTGAAGATGAGAATATTGTTTTATGGAATACGGTACTTAAGAATTTATAAATCTGTATGAAAGGGGTATTCTGAGGCTTGATTAGACTGAACATAGATGACATGCTTTTTGTTTCTATAGTACGGATCTCGATTTACTGAAAGGCCGACTATAGTGACATATTATTTAACAATTATTATTATTATCTTGACTATGAAAATAATATATACTTATTCTTAATCTAAAGCAGAAGTATAAAATTTATGAGATGAAAAATGATAAAGAAATAAAAAGAGTTAAGATACATAATAATAGAATTTGATATTTTTAAAATAAATATTATTTTAAATTTCTTTCCTAATGATTACTACTCCTAAAGTTAATTCTATAATATTAATATCACAATTTGACATCTCTTATATGGCAAATAGAGCAGATAAAAATTAGGCTAATTTATGAACGTTAAAGATATCCAATTAAAATCTTTCTCTCTGCCTCAAATCTGCATGTTTCGATTATTCAAAGAAGCAATATATCTCACGGTTGCGAACAAGGTATCAAGCATATCTGCTTTCTCAAAAGTCCTCCTGACTCCCAAAGTTCATAAATCTACTTTGCTAAAGAATAAAATGAAATACAATTCTTGTAAGATATCGATTAATCTACTTTTCGCACAGCAAATATGGGTATGCACTAATAGGTTAAGAAAAGGGCACTTCAGATTCTCTGGCACCTGTTAGTTTTTCCTTAATGGACTTACATTCAAGAAAGATGATTGTATTCACCTATTCCTTCTTAAGACTCTAGACCAAAATCTTTCTTAGGCACCCTCTTCATGAATCTAATAGGGAAGTTCTTAAGTTAAATAAAAGAAACAAAGATGATATTTATTTAAAAATTATAAGGTTATCAATTATTTTATTAATAAATAGAGATTCGTTGTTACATTTTTGCTGAATATGAATTTCAGAAGACTTCAAAATAAATTTAATACATTAACTTCTTCATTGTTTTTCATTTATTAGTTTTAACCTTTTACTTCTACATTTAGATATTTAGATATATAATCTACTAATTAATTAAATTTATAATTAAAGAGATAAACTCTCCTCTTCTCATCACTTAAGGGAATAAAAGTGCAAACGCTCTATTAAAGTAATTCCTCTTCAAAATTCCTTCTGCTATCATTACCTAAAACAAGTTCTGTCAAGGTGCCCTCATGTTTTTGATTAGAGGAAAATAATCGGTACTCAATGTTTTCTCAACAATCTAATCGAAAGAATTTCCTAAATGTAGAAAATCTAGGTATCCATTATTTTATCACCACTAGATTTCATATTTCTGGATATTGAGTCTGATTAAAATTGCTTCTAAAATGAGATATGAATTTATTTTTTGAAAATTCATAGGATAATACTGCTTGCCAAGAAGCAAAATATAATTGCAAGAACTACACAAGATTTAATAAATGCCCTGCATAAATGAATGACCTTCTTTCATGTATTTGGATTGACAGCTCTAGTTATTCCATTTCAGATGTAAATTATGGTGTAATAACAGGAAGTGGACTTGATCATGCTTTATTCCAAGCTTATAATCTAGATTTCGAATCCGTCACTGATATAGCCAAATGTTAAAATTTTAAATCAGCTTGCGAATAATATGCAGGTACACCATTAAGTTGGACAAAAGCTG